CACATCTTCCCAAGATTGCACCCCAGACTCTTTGCCAAATGCTGTGTTGTCACTAAAGCTGTTTGATTTCTCCCTTTGTTTCCTTTTGGGACCTAAGGGACACTCAATACGGACATGACATTTTGAAAACTAAACTCACATCTTTTTCACCCTATCTTCATTGTTGTTCTGGCCTACTTTCTCTTAGACACTTTCTTGAGGGTGTGGGCTGAATGTGGTCTTTCAAACTTTCATGCCAACTCCCTTACGTGTCTTTCCCTCTCTGATTCCATCTTTTCCTGGGATCATTAATGTTCTGAAACTGCTTATTTAGTTGTGGGTTACCCTGGGCCTTCTGTGTCTTCTGTCCTCTATTTTTTTTTTTTTTAAATCACTGAAATGATTTCCTTCTTTATTAGAGACTGATTCAGGAAAGAAAAGGGGTGAGACTTGAGTGGATGATTTTTGCTGTTTGACTACAGGTTGAAACGAGCAGTTGGATTTTTGGGTTTCATTGATCCTCTAGGTTTTTATAACCAATTCCTTTGGTTACTGATTGTATGATTCTCACTGGAAATTATCTGGAAATATGAACTATGGAGAGAGAGCACCAATTAGCAAAGCTCTAGGTGGTTTTAACCCTGGAGAATATTCCCCAATGACTATGTGGGTGTGCCTGCCAGGCCTGGAGAGGATCTAGGCTAACGATGAGTTTCCTAACCCACCAGTCCTTGTCCAGTTGCTGGAGTATGAAGATTAGATGTGGGTGGTAAGATTTCCTGGCCTCCTGGATCTATTCCTGAAGAGAGCAGATAAGGTCAGGATGAGGGAAGTCTAGGTTCTGAGTTAGAAAAATCAAGTACGATTTCAGGGTCTCTGAAACAAAGATATGTCCTGAGTAATTCATACACAAACATGATTGAAGTAATCAGAAGGGAGAAATGAATGGGGTTAGAGTCACAGGGCCACATGATAAATTATGCCTGGCTATGCAAGTAGGTTAAATCATTTCCTAAGATGTTGCCAACAGCACAAATATCTGCATTTAGCAACACATGCAACCAAAAAGGGAACCAAAAATACTCCCCAAGTTTCTTCTTCTTTGGAATAGTGATTCCTGCTATTTTACTGTCTCCATTGAGGCACTCAGGGATCTTGGGTGAAGTCAGCTAGGTCGGTCCCCCTGGCCAGCCATGTGGGTGGACTTAAGTGGGTACCCGAAAGTGGTGGGGAGGGTTGTGAAGCTGTCCTGTTGCCAACCCTCCCCAAGACCATTTTCTGCTCCTGCATATTTTTCTTTATACCAATGGGAGTGGGAGGTGAAAGTATCCAAAACCCAGTCTTGGAATCTTTTTTTTTCTTTTTTTCACTTTGAGCTACTTGAAAATGTATATAAAGTAAAATGCAGAACCTTGAAACCCTGTTTCAGCCTGAAACTCACTTGGCTCAGTTGGATTGGCTAGGCTGCAGGGTCCTTTACAAGCAGAAGAGCCTGGGTTGGATAAGAGAAATGGATAATTCTGGATGGGACCCATGGGAAGCATACACTGATTCTTTCCTCTGACTCTTCCTTTCTTTCTTCCTTCTTTATTTCCTCCCTCCTTTTCTCCCTCTCTCTCCTGTTCCTTCCTTCCTCCTTCCCACCACCACCCCCCTTCTCTTTTGTGCCCTTCCTCTCTTCCTCTTTGTATTCTTGTGTTTTTTTTTTTTAATTTTTTTTTTAACGTTTATTTACTTTTGAGACAGAGAGAGACAGAGCATGAACGGGGGAGGGTCAGAGAGAGAGAGGGAGACACAGAATCTGAAACAGGCTCCAGGCTCTGAGCTGTCAGCACAGAGCTCGACGCGGGGCTCGAACTCACAAACTGTGAGATCATGACCTAAGCCGAAGTCGGACGCTTAACCGACTGAGCCACCCAGGCGCCCCTCTCTGTATTCTTATATTCTGCCGCTCCATCTTCTAAGGAACTGGTCTGAGAACAAAGGGAGAGACATGGTAAGGAAGAAGACTAAAGAAACTTTTCTTGTGACTGAATAAAAACTGACAATAAAAATGCCAAAGTTTGGTGATTATACTGATAACTGAATGGGAAATCAGTACTGTACAGAAGCTTCACTTACTTTTTAGGCAAGATAATTCTTTTGATATATTTACCAGAGTTCGGCAGGAACATCTGGCTGACTAGCAGTTATATTTTCTGAAGGGAGGGGGCAGCCATTGCTACCGTCAAGTATCCTCTAACTTTTCCTTAGTACCATAAGGTTTATCTGAATCTCACAATATCTGTGATCTTCTGAGTTCCAAATTTCCCTTCAAGCTGATGTTTGTCTTTCATTTGTTTTCTAATTAGCATTCAGGTTTTCAGCCCTAGAGTGCACTGCCAGAGGCAGAACGTCTCCCTTGGTGGTGACCCTTGTTGTCATTCTTCTAAAGTGAATTCACAGGACTGTTCTGTGACTTTCAACTTTGCTCTGTGATACGAGGTCTGTGAATGTTTAGTTGACAATACGTGTGCGCCTCTCTCATTTCCTGTTTTTAAGGGCTGCACTTAATTTATTTGAAAGGGTGGAATATTTTAAATTACAATTCAGCAGTTTTACTAAGGAAGGCTGTAAAACACAATGAGCAAGGAGTTTTACTTCCTCCTCACAATTGCTACTCCCGGTTTTGAAATCTTGATATCCTCCAATCAGTGGGAATGACTTTAACTTAGGCTGGAACAGTTTGAACAGCAACCAAGCCATGGCTGGAACTATAGAAGGGCAAGGGATTCCTGCACACTATAATTCCATTTTTCCAGACGCCTTATTAGTACCCGGAATGTGTCTGCTTATGCTTGATATTGTTCTATCATGTTGAGTTCCCCTCCCCCAGGCACAGCATTTGGATTGGTTACAGAATACAGTTGCTCAGCCAATCAAGTGAAACCTTTCTCCTGCAACCCTAGCAACACCTGACAATGGTCATTGACAAATGTTAGCAGAAAAATCCCTCACAAATCCAACCAGCCATGAAAGTGGTTTCTGGCGAGGGCAAACAGCTAGTCCTGCCCACAGAGCACTTTGTGTGGCCAGAGGACTTGGTGTTTGGTGCCAGATCTGTAAAAACAGAACCTGCATGTGGATGCCTACCTCAGTATGCTACCACTTAGGCTGAGCTGGCTTTGGTCAAAGCCATTGTTGGAGTCAGCGATCTGTTATATGTGTGTACGTAGGGGTGGGTCTCATCTTCTCCCACACCGACCAAACCCTCATCACCAAACAGAATATTTTCAGTGGTTGGAGAAGAAGTCCACGTAAAACTTCGGCTCCAAGGTCACACTTCTTTGTTGGATGGTAATTTGTTCCTTAGGGTAAGGCAAGAGGAACATTTTCTGAGGGCGGCAAGATACCTGGCTGTGTCCCCAGTGGCACTTTTCCAAGCCTTCTGGCTACACATCTTTCACTTCCCAGCCAGCCTCTGAACCCTGTTAGGGTGCAGTTGGCCTGTCTGGCTCACCTGCGGGCACATTGGGACACTCCTCTCAGAAGGCTGCTAGACCTAATGAGCTCTCACTGCTCTCCGGGAGGCTTCATGACTGAGGGATCTGTAGGCAGACCTGGCAGAGGCTAGGGTGGGGGAGGGGGCAGGGAATGGAGAATAAGAAAGGGGGCCTGCCAAAAACATGCACAGACAATTCATACGCAAACACATGTTCCCACAAAGACATAATAGCTGTGTGTATATGATACCCTCCTGAAGTCCCCTTACACGATCATTCCAGTTAGTCTAGCCACCTTGGAGGCATATTTCAAACCCTGGTTGAGTAATTCATTGTGTGGTGATTAGCTGTTAATGAAGCTGAAAATACCTAAATCATCCAAGAAGTAATCTGAATTAATTTTTTTTTTGGTTACACTGCAAGACAAGTCGGTGTCAAGACAAAGACCTGGGGGACACAGAGGCATTTGCACACACAGATATAATGCACACACAGAGATAAACCTAGGTAAGAGGAACAGAGGTAGAACAACCTGGGGTACAAGATGGGGAAAAGAAAGGAAAGGGAAACTTCAAGGACAGACATGAATTGAAGAATGGGAAACCCAAGGTAACATTTTGAAATTAGTGACGTTCATTCAATGCTCCCCACCCACACCCCAGACACCCTCTATTAGGACCACCCTACAGTGCCTGTCTGAATTTAATTTTCCATGGGGGCTGGGGGGAGGGGGTAGCAGTCAGTTTAACGAATTCCTTGGGATTATAAAATGGTAATGGCTTCAAGTCTTAGCCTTTCAGGGGATAGTGATATTTTTCAAAGGGGGCTCATTAAGGTCCAAAGAACCAAATCTCTAATGGTTGAATTGTAAATTGAGAGGAATATCTTTAGTGTGGAGATGTGGCCTTGCTCAAACACATTTGTAAGGTAGAAGCCTTACAAAGAAGGCTGGGGAGGGTGGGGAGTGCAGAGGTGAGCCAACCATCAGATGGATGCTCTACAGAACATGGTGTCAGATGGCAGAGGAAAAGCAGCAGGCCAGACTTACACACAGGAACAAACCAGGAGTTGTTAGAATATTCCATGTCCGTCCTTCAGGGAACTTGGAAACTTTCTGGTGACTTGAGATATGGAAAATTACAGGGGTGCCTGGGTGGCTCAGTAGGTTGGGCATCCGGCTTTGGCTCAGGTCATGATCTTGCGATTCGATTTGTGAGTTTGAGCCCTGCATCTGGCTCTGTGCTGACAGCTCAGAGCCTGGAGCCTGCTTCAGATTGTGTCTCCCTCTCTATCCGCCCCTCCCCCGTTCACACTCCATGTCTCTCTCTCTCAAAAATAAATGATAAACATTAAAAAAATTTTTTTAAAGAAAGAAAATTATAATAAAGGATACCACACATTGTGTTAAAAACCAAACCTTATGTAGCCATATACATGCACATAGTTCTCGGTTTCTGAAAGAAATGAAGCCATTCTGAAAGGAAGTAAAATTGTGGGCATTGTCTATTGAGGAATCAAACAATTTTCTTCCTTTCCCAGATTTTTAGAAGTTTGTCAGTTATTACTGGTCAAGTTTTCGGTGGGTATGAGCAACTATCAACTACGAAGACTATGGAACAACAACAACAACAACAAAAAGTCACATCAAATGTTTACTTCTTGCTCTGGAAGTTCAGAAATCTTGTCTTACTTGTGAAACAGAGAAAGACAAAATAAAATTGACAATGTATATAATATGGTTCTTTGTAACCCAACTTTCCGGGGGGTCAGAAAGAGCCGTATAAAATACCTGAAGCTTCATGAAGGTGCCTGGAGGGAAGAGGTAAAGGTTCTCACTTAGAGTGGATAGTTGATGCTCAACAGTTTGAATTTGACTTGAGGATAAACCAAGAGCCTGCAACTGGGACAAGGCATGTTTATCTTTAGTGCAGCAGTTTGGAGGTGGAGGCATTCCTGCAACAGTCGGCTGGCACATTCTAGGCACAAAATATTTGTTGGTGACCCAGAACCACTGCCTCCAAATCGACCTTCTCTCAATTCACAGATACTATCAAAGGAGGAAAACCCTAGAACCCCAAGAGAAACCCATTTTTCTCCTCTTAATCCCCAAGAGATCAGTGTTTGCTATTTCCATGGCAACCAGAAGACGCAAAATGGCCAAAACCGGAGAGCTACTTCAGATGAAAGCCAGAAAAAAGAAAATTAACAAGAGACATGTTACAGACAGCATGGATGACAGTGTGGCCAGGTTTCCGAAATTTGGGGAGATTTTCTTATTTCTTTCCTTGGAAGAATGCAATGCTGTCCAGAATGTAGCAGTGGAGCTTCTTGCTGTGCTGCTAAATGTTCATTGAGTACTTCGTTTTATTCTTTTCTTGAAAGGAGTGGAGGGACCCATGGGCCTTGGCAGCAATTAAGTGAAAGTAAGCTGTTGGAAATTGCTCTCCTGGCAAGCCTTGATGTTAACCTCAATGAGGAGGCCAGTCTGGCTACAGTGCCCTTGTTCCCTTTCTTCCATGGAGTGAACAAATATTTATTGAGCACCTTCTATTTTCTAGGTAATCTATTCCACACACAACGAAATGAAAACTTACAACTCTGATAAGGGCTCCTAGGAGAAGTCCCTGTAACTACTAGAGTGTGTAGTAAGCAGAGCTGACCTGTTAAAGCGGCCAGGCCCTCCTAAGGAAGTATGATTAAGCTGAGTAGGAGGAAACTGGGCCGTGGTTGCAGGGCCTGGGGAGGGAGAACATTCCAGGCAGTGGGAACTCTTGGGCAAAGGCCCTTTGGAGGAAGTGAGCCTCAAGTGTTCGAGGAACTGAAAGCAGGCCTGAGCAGCCTGTGTTGGCAGAACCCCAGAGCGTGAGGGGAATGAACTTGGGGCAAGGCCAGTTGGAGATGTGAGCAGGAGCCAGGTCATTTTCAGTGCAGAGCCTAGTCTTGCAGGGTGGGTTTGTTAGGGACTTTGGTGTCTATCTCTCCTCATTCCAGGGTGAACTCAAGCTGTAACAGGAATGTATGACAGGCCCTTCTTGTGTGTGATCTGGGAATGGCAGCTTCTGGTTTATCTGAAATCCGTCAGAATATTGCCATACATTCCAGATGTGAACCACCAAGTTTCAAAGGATTATAATTTTATGAAATACTTTAAACCTAAATCACATTCAAGATATTTTATGTATGAAGACTCAGGCACTTTGGAGCCATCACCATGAATTTCACTCATCATCATATATTAACCGCTCAGAAGCCAGAGTTTGACCATCTAATAACTTCCCCTGTATCTGTGACCCACCTGGAATCTGGGAAGTTTGCAAGAAGCCAAAAAAATGTAACAAATTTTAAATACATATTTTTACCAGAGGGTAGGTCCTCATTAAGAACTTAATTCCATTGTACACACAGTTCTAACGAGTGGGTTTTTTGGGTTCCAAGGGCACAGCAGATAGGGAGCAATAATTTAGAAAGGGAGAAGGGATGGGGTGGTATATGTAAATAATTAAAAGTAACAGGGAGCAGTACAAATGTAGAGGAGACCAAAAAAGAACGCCCCCCCCAAACAAAACAAAACTCCTGAGACAAAAAACCCATAAGAATTGAAAACTATATTAAAAAAAAAAAAAAGCAAGGAAGAAAGAGAAAGACTAAAAGCAAACTGGGGCTTTAATTACAGACAAATCTTCTTGCATGCCTTAAGATCTTGAGGGCATTGTTGTGTTTATAATAAGACTTAATGCTTAAGAAGTCAGTCATATTTTAGAAGGATTTCTGGGCCACAGAGTCAAGCTCTTAAAAAGGGTGTTGGTACTTAAGTAGATCTTCAGTCATTGGGGAAATTGTTGAGGATGGTTCTTACCAAGGTTCTGTGTAACCACGGGTTTACTGTAGTATGGTTCTGTGGATGTGTTAATACAGATTTTGGGGGGCGCCTGGGTGGCGCAGTCGGTTAGGCGTCCGACTTCAGCCAGGTCACGATCTCGCGGTCCGTGAGTTCGAGCCCCGTGTCGGGCTCTGGGCTGATGGCTCAGAGCCTGGAGCCTGTTTCCGACTCTGTGTCTCCCTCTCTCTCTGCCCCTCCCCCGTTCATGCTCTGTCTCTCTCTGTCCCAAAAAAAATAAATGTTGAAAAAAAAATTAAAAAAAAAAATACAGATTTTGGGCTGAGAAAATATGTGACATACCAGCTCTTGCTGAAACTGCTTCATTTTCACAAGCCCTCGAAATCTGGGTTTGAAGAAAATCATTGGAAGTGACGCTTTTCATATGTGAATTGTCATGGTGCTATTCTTGACAGTGAATGAGTTCTTGAATATTTAAAAATATTGTAGGTGATACAATGTGCTCCATAAATACATCTTAAAGTTTGGCTTTCACATTTTTAACTTTAATTTTCATGCTACCTCTTAAATGCAAATAATCTTTCTCCAGGCATAAGGTGCTCTCAAAAGTTATGTGGTTGTCTGAATTGTATGTTTTCACTTCCTCCAGATGGGAATGAGAATGAATAAAAAACAGTCCGAACACTTTGGAGAATGCTCATGCTATATGTTTATGGAATGATTTGGGGGATGACATTATGCGTTGCAAATAAATCCTCCGTACATGTCAGGGCATTTTCTGTCTCCCTAGAGAATATGTTCACACTGTAGTAGTTGATGTTTTAATTGTGTTTTTCTTATGCTATCTCACTTATCAGACCCATCTGCAAAAGAGTGATGGAATTTTGAAGAAATCATTAATTTTCTAAATGACAATTCTTCTATATTGCTACTTTTTCAGTGTTTAACAGCAGGAGTTTTTGTTTGTTTTCTTTTTTCCTCCAGTTGACAGAGGTAAATAAATATGGAAGTAAATATTTTCACATTATCCAATTAAACATATTCTTGGGTCTATCTTGTGACAAGCTTTACAAAAGACCTAGTAAAACGTTACAGCTGTTACAAAGGGGAAAGACTAAATGCTCTAATTAAATGTGGCATTTCCTATTTCTTCTGGCTATCAACTAGGTTCTAGGCCTGGTTGGAGGCCAGTAAAACATTCCGGTTCTGAGATGGCTTTTATATGATGAGACTCACCACGGATCTTCAGAGTGGAATGAATAGCAGAATGATACCAGTCTGGTCAGTTTTCACAATACCAAAATTGTATACAGTCTGTATTTACACTAAAATGTTTTTGCTCAAAATTAACATAATATAAATAAAAATAATAGCTTACCTAATATTTAACAAAAGCAAACATTTACCTATTGAGAGAGAAATTATTGTTCAAATACAAAATTTATTTTTTTAGACTTTAATTTTTAAGTAATCTCCACACCCAACAAGTGGCTTAAACTCACAACCCCAAAATCAAGTCACATGTTCTACTGATTAAGCCACCAGGCACCTCTCCAAATTATAAAATATAAAGCAAATTTATTTGTAAGCAAATTGTTAACCTGATCATTTTGTGTATGTCGAGATGTAATGATTTATTTTTCAAAATTCCAGATTGTAACTTATTCCCTCGATTAGCTGAGATGACTAGCAATAATGATGAGGCAATGTCATTTTTTCTTTCTGGAGTCTTCCTTCTAAGCACTGGACTGTGTGAAGTTCTTGCCACTAAAGAGTAGTTTTCAAACTTGGGTGTAAAGAAGCCTTATGTGGGGAGTGACTGATGGTCAATTTATGGTTCCCAGCTCCAGCATTATGTTCAGGTGCACTCTAAGTGTTCTCTCTTTGAAAACCACTGCTCCAGGAATTTGATAAATCTCTATTGAATTTAACTCAATTTTTTCACTTTTTAAAATGTTTATTTTGAGAGATAGAGCGCGAGTGTAAGAGTGCACTTGAGCAAGCAGGGGAGGGGCAGAGAGAGAGAATCTCAAGCAGGCTCCACACAGTCAGTGCAGAGCCTGACAAGGTGCTTGCTCTCACGAACTGTGAGAGTGTGACCTGAGCCGAAATCAAGAGTCAGATGCTTAACCGACTGAACCCCCAGGCACCTCAAATTTTTCATTTTTAAATTAGAAATTTACCTGGGTAAGGGTGCCATGCTAGGTCTCTGGATAGGACTCTACTGCCCCTTTCAAATAAATTCCTTTGCCATACATCCATGTAGGGATCCAAGTACACAGAGCAGGTGCTAGATTTGGTGCTGGGGGAGGGAGTGCCTCTTCCCTGAGGCTCTCAGTTTAGTTCCTGGGAGTCCTGTTAATGAAGTTTGCCTGTCAGCCTAGCCCCTGACCACAGTGGCTGATGTGATATGTGATGTGATATGATGAGTCACATCATTTGGGAAGCTGTAGACGTTTTGTACTTTTATTTCTTACCATTGCCTAATGGCAAATATTGGAGCATAATCAGGGGCCTCTAGTCCTGATTTAGTCCCTGGGGTAGGGTCCTGTTTGAAAAGGGTAATTATAAGTAATTTAGTAACGAATTCTATGAACACCAGGAAAACACTGTAAATATCCCCACAACTAGAGCTGGCACAGTACCAACCAATCATAACATATGGTGACTTACTTCTTCCTTGGCTCAGGGGTAAAGCTAACCTCTGGGGAGGCAGAAGCCTTGCAGTATGGTGCTGGGCACTTGGGGCCACAGAAATGGCTGAGGCATAATCCCAATCCTCAGAGGATTTCTAACCAGGGAAGGGAGAGAATGTGAATGGCTCAGGCAAGTGTAAACATAACTGTGATGCCAGGTAGAATGGTATAGATGCTATAGGAAAGATCCAAAGTGTTAGAAGGGCTTGAAGAGAGAGATCACACTTCTAGGTGGGTTTTCCCAGAGGAAGCGGCATTTGAGCAAGTCCTTGAAAGAAGGGTAGGAATTTGGCAAGTTGCAAGGGAAGAGAGAGACATTATAGGCAGTAGACTTGTCCTGAGCAAATGTGGGGAGTGGGAAAATGAGGAGGACTTCTGGGGGAACTGGGAGAAGTCCTGTTGGAGCATAAGAAAAATCCTGTTGGGAAGCTCGAAGTGCTATTGGCTTTTATGGGAGATAAGGCTGGAAAGCTGGGTTTGGTCAAGATCGTATCTGAGTTTGGTCTTTTGCCAATAGGCAGCACGGAGCCATTTAAAAGAACTTGAGCAGGAGGGTGACACAGTCAGAACTGTACTTGAGGAAGCACAACAGCTGGGTGGAGGAGGATTTGGGGGAGGAAAGGTTATACAGACATACCAGTGAGGAGGCCCTGCAGAGTGAAGAGGCGGAATAATTGAGCAGCAAGAGGGACTGGGATAGACAACACAGCAAGTAAGCCTACATGGGAGTCGCAGGAAAAGGAAAAGAGACATAAAGCTTGGGGGCCTGTAACAGGCGGCAACAGTAATGCCAGTCTAGGGGAAGGAAGAGATCCTGGTTTCCAGGGAAAGGTGGTACTCTGGATTTGAGGTGGCCACGGGCACCAGGAAGAAAGAAGTGAGCTGAAGCAGAGACCGTTACTAGGGGATGGGAATGGTGGAAACTCTACGAGGGGTAGGTCACCAAAAATGCAGAAGAGGACGAGGATAGGCTGTAAGGAAGGGTATTATACGTTAAAGAGTTTGGAGAAGGAGAAAACCAAAGACAAAGCAGAGAAAGATAAGTTGGAGATGATGGAGCCACAGTAAAGTGTCAGGGAAACCAGGGGAGAGCAATTCAAGAGGGAGAGTGGTTTCAGCTTAAGCTACTGCAGAAGGGAAAACTGAGAGGAGCTGGTGGCTCTGGATTCTTTTTTTAAATTAAACTAGATCCCTCCAACGTAGGATGATGCCTGAAATCTAGTCTCTTCGGTTCATTACAAAATCGAGATCTCTAAAGTTAGGCACCTCCAAAGTGTCTATTTTTCTGTTCAATATAAATTAATGTCTTCCACTAACACATCCTATGACCCTGAATAAATCACTTACCCTGTCTAGGGGCACCTGTTTTGTCATCTTTTACTTTCCAGATAAGCGATTCTGTGTGTATCATATGAAAATACTTGGTAATGTACACAATATTACACATGCCTGAGACTTATCATGACTGTATTTGAGAAGAGCTCAAATTGTATTTTACTTTTCGACTTTTTTTCCTATCACCTATGTTTTTCAAAAGTTTAAACATTATTTTTATTTTTAATAGATCCAGAAATGTAATAACTAGAGGAAAGAGCCCTCCCCTCCCATTTGCCTATAAAGATTCTCTTCCAGCTTTTTTCTCAGGCCTTTACCTAAGCATTGAGAGGTGCACCCCAAATACCAGACAGATATACAGAAATATTATGTCATCAAAATTTTCCTAACAAGTAAGGTAGCGATGGACAGTCTGCCAGCATCCCATCCCCCAGGGACCTGCAGCCTGGGTCTTCTCAAGGCCTGACCACACTTAAGAGCCAAGACCGGCAGTTCGAGGTCCCCTGGGCCTTGGCCTTTGGTGGGCGATTTTCTTTAAAATTCAGACCCACTCTATTTCCTTTCATTTTAACCCAGGCAATGAAGCAGGCAGGTGGGTAACACCAGCCAATAACCTTAAAAGACGTGAAAGTGTCAAAGGAGATACGGTTTATCTCCCACAATAGCGACCGTATCAGTATCACGATTTACAGTAAAAACAAGGTGGGGCGAAGAGTAAAGATGTCGCCAACGCGCTAATTAAGTCTGCGGCTTGGACCCAGATTTGACCGAGGTCTGTGGAGTGCGAACAATATCCGCAGGGTTCCCCGTTCAGCCCGGGACTCGCCTCTTTGCCTTCGCCGGCGCCCTCGTACCAGCGAGCAGCGCTCTTCGCTCGCCCGCCCCCCTCGCTGCCTTTACCCGAGTGGAAGGGCCGTTCGGGAGTAGCCAGCGCGGCTGGGAGGACGGCGAGCGTCCGGCGTGCCTAGGTTCCTGGCAGCCGGGCACCCGGGGCCGAGCCTGGCCGACCTAAGTGCGCACCCAGCGCGTTAGCAGCCGCCGTCCGCCGCCGAGCGGCCGGGACGCGCCGTCTCCAGTCGGCGGGGCTGTACGCGCGCGCGCGCGTGGTGTGTGTGTGTGTGTGCGCGCGCGTCCGTGGCGTGTGTACTCACAAATGTGTGTTCGCTAAATCCACGGCCCCGGTGTACCCTCTGCCTCGAGCAGAGCACCCAGCTTGGAGCTGGGTCTCGGCGGCGCGGCCGCGGGGGCGACGCGAGCCGGTTCAAGTTTCCCTGCTCCGCGCCAGCGGCCTGGCCAGCTTCTTCGCCCGCCGAGCTGAGAGTGCGCTAGGGCCGGGAGGCCACGGCCAGCTCAGGACGCGCGTCGCAGAGCTGCGGGGCAGGTTCCGAGCGCTCTGCGCGTTTTGGAACACTTTGGCCGGCTCGGCTCCCAGACCGGCCGCCGGGATACAGCGGACACGGGAATCCGGGACGGGTGCACTGCAGCCATGCGGGGCAGCTGAGTGGCCGCTCTCCTTCCCTACCCGGGTCTGCAAAAGTGAACTGGAAAACAGCCGAGCGCAGCCTCCTCCCTCTACCCCAACGCCGCAGTCCCGGCTGGCGTGGGGGTGGGGGGAGTTCCCCTGGGCTGACTGTAGGGGAAGCGGGCAGCGGGGCTGCCTCGGCCGCACCTCCTCCGCCTTCCTCTCCACCCCCGTCCCTCAGGTTCCACGCCGCATTTCTTTGTTTTGAAAGCGCCTCCTCCGCCCAGAGGCTTTTCCCCGGGCGGCCAGGCTCTGACGGGGGTGGGGGGGTGGGGCATTGGCTCGCGGGCCCCGCCCCTCATTTAGCCCGGACCCTTCCCCGGGCTCTTCTCCCCAAGTCCCCCCCGCCGCCAACTCCCCTTCCCTCCGCTTTTAGACCCACCAGGCGCGTCTTCACTTGCCGGACATCAAAGGGCGGCAGGGAATTGGAGGGGGAAGTTGAGTTGGCAGGGGGCACAGAGACCCACCCACCTTAGGCCAGGCTCGGCTGCCCGTCCCCTCCCGCGGGAACCCCGCCTGAGCCCCGCCCCCCGCGTCACAGCAGCCTGACATTCTCACAACCCACCGGGCACCCAACCTCGCCGCCCCCGCTACCCCCGTGTCCGCGGAGTGCTCTATTTATGTTTCAGCTCAGCGATTTGCATGGGCCCCGCCCCTGGCCCTAGGTCCCCCTATCCGTTCCCCGCCTCAACCCCGACGTCACGGAGCAGGCCCCGCCTCTCGTGCCCGTACAAGGAGCGGCGGGCCCTAGATGGCAGCGTGGCGTCGCCGCGGCGTGTGCGTGTCGCGCTTCCTTGTGCCGTTTATAGGGTCCCAGCACTTCCGCTGTCGGGTTAGAAGCGGCGCGGTCATGGCGGAGCGCGGACAGCAGCCTCCTCCCGCGAAACGGCTCTGCTGCCGGCCGGGCGGCGGCGGTGGCGGCGGGGGCAGCAGTGGCGGTGGAGGAGCGGGTGGCGGCTACAGCTCTGCCTGTCGGCCCGGCCAGCGGGCGGGCAGTGCGGCTGTGGCGGCGTGCGGGGGCGGCGCGGCGCTGGGGCTGCTGCCGCCGGGTAAGACCCAGAGCCCCGAGTCGCTCCTGGACATCGCGGCGCGCAAGGTGGCGGAGAAGTGGCCGTTCCAGCGCGTGGAGGAGCGCTTCGAGCGCATCCCGGAGCCGGTGCAGCGCCGCATCGTTTACTGGTCCTTTCCCCGCAGCGAGCGGGAGATCTGCATGTACTCGTCCTTCAACACCGGCGGCGGCGCCGCGGGCGGCCCCGGCGA